AGGAGGCAAAGTCCTGGTCTCGGTCCCCATAGTTGAAACCATACATTGAAAAGTGTTAACTTGAGGCTATTGGACTCATCAGCTCCTATGTCTCAGAGGATACATAAAGTGAAGCAAAAAAAAAAAAAAAAGGATAGAAAAAAAATGTTAATTAGAAAAGGAATGCCTAAATTATTGATCTACTTGTGTACTTTAGACTTAGGAATAGTGAACAAATCATATTCCATAGATGTAGAACTTATTTTTATAGCAATATACACATGTATGTGAAATTTTACATACCATGTATGACTATTAATATTAATTGAGGGTAGTAGAATTTGTCGTATCACTATTTTATATAGGGTTTCAAATTGGATTAAAATGGGAGGCTTTGATACAGGCAAGCTGAGGGGGACCCCAAAATCCCCAAATCTTCCTTTTCTGCCATCATCACACCAAGACAAAACATACTCTAGTGCAGAAGACCATTAATTGGGAAGGACCTTTAATGTACTTAGTGTGCAATATAGAATGACAAATAACATAGTTCTCAAATCAAGCACCTGAAGTTACCCGTCAGCCAAACAGGGCTGGCCCTGAGGCCTGAAAGCCTGCTGCAAGTCTAAAGCACCTTCTGGTGGGGAGCCACAAGAAAGGGGCAGAAACAGCCAGAAAATTCTGGAAGGAAAAGAGAAAAATCAAAATCAATTTAAAAGCTGCTATTGACAGCCTCTCACAGGTCTCTCACAACATCTCTTTCTGTTGCATCAGGTAACACCACACTGACAAAGAAACGGGAGTCATGGAGCATACTACAAATGCAGGATGCTACTGAAAAACAAGATCCTGGCTTTTTTTTTTTTTAAGATTTATTTATTTATTCATATAGAACTGGGGTACAGGCCAGAGATGCAGAGGGTGAGAGGATTCACCAGGGACAGAGTAGGGAGCAGAACAGGCAGATCAACAAAGTACACTGCTAAGGGGAGCAGCGGGCATATCAGGACAGGTTTGCCAGGCCATGTGGATCTTCTTCCGGGCAGGCAGGGATTGAACTCATGTGGAAGTGGCTTAAGCTTCTTAGTGCAGTGCTTTAACCCACTGCGCCACCAGGGTGTGCCCAAGTTCCTGGCCTGTTTAATGGTAGACTAATAATACAGCATTAATCATGTGAGGAAGTGAAAAAGAAAGGGAGAATTGGAAGAAGCTGGGCAAAAGTTGGAACTGTGCATCTGCTGATAATTTGGAATGTAGAACAGCCTTGACTCTTCTAGTCAGGATTTCAATCTTATCAATATGGCATTCCACTGATTAGCTTCTGGGGTCCTTTGTTATATATTAGTCAAGGGCCCCCCAGGTGTTCCTTATCATACCACGTGATGTATAAGTCGGGAGTAAGATTATGCATCTGTCCTCGTGATGTATACCCTTCCCAGAGTGATCTAGTTTATGCTCTTAATTGACATGAAAGATGTCTCATAGGGTTGGACTCTTAAAATGGAGGCTGGATAAGCCACCTAGGATTAGCAGACTCACATCTTTCAAGTAGTTGAAGACCAAGAACCAAGTGCAGCTTCATGTCTTTCTATTCCATGTGTCTTTTCCAGATCTCCTTCCTCTCCATCATTTTTTCCTTTCTTCCTCAGTCTCCTTTCTAGCTTATCATCCCTACTCAGTACCACCCTTTTCTTGGATGGGGCAGAGAAATTGGAAATTCCCCTTTTCCTGGGGACCACCCTGTTACACATTTCTTGAGTAGGTCAGAAAGTCAGATACAGTGTTTCACTAAAATGCTCTTTGCTCTAGATTTTGTTTTAAGAAGGTTTTGATTTGCATTCTAAAGTTCCACCACTCCTCCCCAAGGACTTCAATTTGTTTCTAAGACATTTCACAAATAATGTTTTCTAAATGTCCCTACACTGGAAAGCATGTGCTGGGTGAAGATCAATATCATAGTTTTGTAAACGTAGAAATTGAATGAGTTGGTTTCAAATGCACAGCAAGGATCCTAGGATTTTTAATGCATCTAATGCTTCATATTTTGTATGATCTTAATGATTTACATTCATATTTTACCATGCGTACATTTTTACAATAACTTAAAATAAAAATACAGTTTACATTTAAAACACTTAAAAAATCTGCTCAAGGGTGAAATATCTTAAAATGCTTCTTTGATTCATTTCAGTTTATCTGTCCCTTGATTTTGTTTTATTTCCTTTATTTTTAGTATATGACATTAGACTATATCTAATTTCCTCATCTTAATTTCCATAACTGGTTATACAACTTGATGAGAAAAAATATGAAGTGGATTTTACTTCTTCAGAAATAGACATCAGACTAACAATCTTACTGGTGCTGACAGTTAAAACTAATCAGTTTTTAATTTTTTTTTCTTTTACTGGAAAGATTGAGAGAGTCTCCGCATTAATATCAATTAGTGCTCAGAAAGAGATCTTGTTCCTCTAGGTCTGAATAATCAAGTGCATATGTTTTTAATTAGCAACATCTTTGTACTCTGCGCCTCATTTAAATGTTCTTCTTTTATTTGGTGCGTTAAATTTCTGTGATTATTCTTGTTTCTACATGTCCGAGAAAAGAATTTAAACCATGAATTGAATCAACTGGAATAGACATGGAATTAAACACTGCAGTGATAAGCCTCTTTACTGACAGGAACCGCAGGAGAGGAGTATAGCGCTCACAAGGAGGTTGCTTTTACCCTCTAGCAAAAACCCCAGCGCTATCTGAAACTAATTTGTACAAATGGCATAAGTACTTGTTTGCGCAGAAGCATGTGGTTGTCTACATTTGTCTAAGGAAAAGGGAAATTTCATTTACCACAATCCTGAGCAATTGGATCATTTTCACAAAGACTGTAAACCAAAAAAAACCCAGTCCAAATTAGCCCCAAGTGACAGATATTCTGATTATGTTTGTGTATTTTACTAAGGCCAGATGGCTTCATCAGACACGGTTTTAGAGACTCACTTACACCTTTTTATAGTGCCTCAGTTCAAAAGGCTTGTCAGAGAAAGTTGATAATGGCCTTCTCCCCTCTGCGAACCTTTTCTGCTTGTGCAGCACCACACAGTGTCGGCAGCCTGTACTGAGTCCAACCACGGGTTTGGTTCTTCAACCAGACCCTAGTAATCAGACACTGAGGGCTGGTGGCTGCCCTCGGGAAATGAAGGCATTGTGGCAGCGAAATGGCCAAAGAAAAGGAAAAAAAAAAAAACAAAAAACTTCTGTGAGTAAATGAACTGCCTGTTTGATTTCCAGTCCCAAGTGATCTTGGTGCAGGCACTTTCACCTCGAGGGAACTCTGCAGGTTGCGTCTCCCACGCACCAAGAGCTGGTTAGTGCTCAGAGAGAGTCACCTCGGGAACCGAAGAACCGCCCACCCAGAATTGGTTGTTCGAAACCAGGGGGCGCACGCTGTAATCTTTAATGGAAGCGTGGGGGTAAAGAATGACACTTAAGACTTCCCTATATTGTCAGAATCTAGGAAAAGAAATTCGAGAAATTGGTCTGGGAAGGGAAGCCAGGAACAGACGTCATTCCCTATCCTACCGCCAGGGAGAAATTAGTGTTTCACCTCACCCGCTTCATCCAGATCGATCTTCATTCTTTCCAGAATTTCCTCCCCATTCTACCATCAATCTGGTTCAGACATCTACAGTGCACAAGTTCGGTGCCTAAAGAGTGGACTCTTTTATGAATACCATTCTACCACGTTTTCCTTCTTTATTACACAGATTTCCCAGAGTCCTTGTGGATCTGATTTGGACCAGTTTTCCAACAGTTTAAAACACTGTGTATTTCAATCACCTATATCATCCCTGTCATTTCAGCACTGTTGTCGGCTGTGGGTGACGGAACCCTGTTGACCGCCCCAGCAGACACCCACACAAACCTTTCCTTATGCTCTGCATCAGCCGGCTGTTAAGAGCAGGTGGAGTGGGCAGAATTGTGTAGTTGTGCAGAGAGGGAGCTAAGAGCTTGCAAGCTCTAGGGAGACCGCGGACTTCCGCTCGGCGAGATTGGGAACTGCTTGAAAATTGGGTTGAAAAAGTCAAGCAAGGGGCTGGGCGTTGTTGTTCTGGGTTTAAAGGAACAGAGATAGTAGAGCTCTCCCGCTGAGTTTATGCAAGCCTGATTCGATCCTTTGTGAATATCTGCCTCTTTCCGCTCCCCCTTCAGGAGCCTGGGCTGTGGGCGGCTCCAGTACTGCCCTGGGAATGCAGCCTCCAAAGACTCCGGCTTGCTGAGCTATTTCTCAAGGTTCCTGGAACACTAATGCTCCCACCAGCCTCGTACGACTGAATCCTCTTAGCGGCTCTGCAATGACTGTGAAGCAATTCAACGTTTAAAAGGTAGCAAAACCGAGATGTCTTCTATTTTTTTTTTCTCTCGTTCATTCTGTCCTTTTATTCTTCAACATTAATCTGTCATTTCTGACTGGAGAATCTAAGAAGAATCCATGACATCTTTACGGTGTCTAATCTAGGAATTTCAAGGGTTCTCAGAATTTAAACACCGTCTTCCTAATTGTTAATCAAATTTTAGTACCCTTGCAAAATAACCCTTTCCACCTTGTACAATTAGAGCTCAAAAAGCTCTGGATTTTTCACGGCGCATAATCTATATTTATTCTCATATTCTCTCTCGCTCGCTCGCTCTCTCGCTCGCTCTGTTGTGCGCGCGCGCGTGTGCGTGCGTTTCCTTTCATTTCTTGCATTAGGAAACTCGTTCAGGGCCACTTAAAAGTCAGGAGAGGTTCACATCTGATTTTCCCTGGATTCCTACCGCCAACGTTAGATAATATCCGGTAATATTGCCACAAAATAAGCATGAGACTATTATTTTGGAGAATCAACTAGCCTCTACCTTCCCCCCCCCAAAAAAAAAAAAAAAAAGCACCGGAGGAAAGAAGACAAGACTGGAAGGAAGAGGAGAAGGAAACCTTGTTCATTAGCTGTGAAAGAAAGTGTGATCAGGGGACGGGCTGGTGGGGGGTTCCAAGACCCTTCCTTCAGCACCGGAGGGAATGGACAGCGTCTCTGGACTAGGCTGCAACCACAGGGACAGAACTGCACTGTCGCTGCTGTTGCTACTGCTGTCCTTGCCGCCACTGTCGTCTTCTTGGGCAGCTGGGCTCCCTGCTCCTCTCAGCTAAAAGGCGGTGCCTCCTAGTACCCCTGAGTTACTCTTCCCTTTTCTTTATAGAGGAAAAGTAACCCTCCTTAACCACCTGACACAACTCTAAACAGGATTCTGAGACGTTCTATGTTCTGCAAATTAAACTCTCAGCAACAACTTCGAGAATAATTTTCTACAGAGGGTTTAGAAGAATGCAAGCAAAAGAGTGTGGAAGTTCTTAAAGGCTCTGGTAAATCATGGGCGCTGCAGCAGGGGTGGAAATGCTCAAAGGCCCACACTTCTTGAAATAAACAGAATGTTCATGAGATGATTGCTATTGCTTTGGAAATAGCTTTGTGAAAGGAAGTTCCAGATCTACTCAAACGCTAGAGAATTTGAAAAGACTTCTAATTCCTTTCCTTGGCAGGTAAGTTGTAATACTGTTATTATTTCTGCATATTTATAAGTCTAATGCTCTTTTTTCAAGGTTTTTGACAGCAAAATTATGAATAACATTATTTTTTTGAATTACAGTGATAAGTGATTTAATTTTTAAAGATTGCTCCTAGATCATGATCTTAGGCAATCCCTTGCCTAATAAAATAGTTGAAGATTTTACTTCTCTGAAGTCCTTTATATGACAAGAATATTTTAAATGATATATATTTTGACTTACATATTTTTTGGTAAATCCTAATTTGGATATTCTCTTCATTTCTATTTTAATATATTTTAGAAATTTTATAAGTTTTTTTATTTCCCCAAAACTAAAATACTTAGTGTTTTGTAACAGGCTTTTTGTTTGTTTTTGTTTTTCTATGATACATGCAGTTTAAAGTGATCATTTCTGGTTTTGTTAAGTGGTAAATAAGATTCAAAAAGTTATGAGATATTCAGCTACCTCTTATATTATGTTTTATATGATTATGATTTGAAAAATCATATACTTCTGATCCCTCTCTCACCCCAGCCATCAAATGTGCCTACCTACACCTGTAGAATCTTACCTAAAAAAATAAATACACATTTTTACTTACCATAACATGTAATCTTTAAGTGCTTAAGATTACTTGCTCAAACCATATATGCCAGAAAGCAAAAGATAAGATATAGTGTCTTTTTAGGAGAGCTGGATATTTATTTTTTGTTATAACAGTCTGACTTCTTAGTTTTACAAAATGCATTTGTCACTGAAATCCAAAAAGTGATTGAGGCCAATAGATTCTTCACAAACCCCAAACTTTCAAGTGATAATTAAGTCCATTTTCTGATGATTATTTCCAAAAATCTTCTCCCGAAGCATGAAACTACAATTTTTCACAATGACCTTGATAAGTATTATGCTTTTAAAAAAAAAAAAAAAAGGCTCACTGGGTAAAGGCAATTATACAAATTTATAGTCTATGCCTGACATTTCTGTAAGAGCTTTATCAATTCCAATATGTACATTCAGTTCAGGGGAGAGTGTTTACTTACAAGGACAGACTTTATAATATTGTAAATACATGTGCTGCTTTATACATAACCAACACTAAAGGGGTTATCTACTCATTCGAAAAATTTAGAGTTCTTTAGGTTTTCTTTTAATTGGGTATGTCAGGTATAATAATGCAATAAAATAACTCTAATACATATCAGGTCCACCTCAATTTCAACAAAAATTAGTTTGATGCAATTAAGATGCTATTTAATGATGATCTGATGGACTTTTTTTTTTTTTTTGCATTGACTAAGAGTAGTAATTATTCTTTGAGGAAAAATCATCCTTAATGGTTGCTTATCACTTAACATTAATCTGCTTGCTTAGCAGAAAGGGAGCTGAGGCATCTATGTCATTGAGTCCCTTGGGGGCTATATTGTCCTATATAAGTCAGAAATGATAATCTGGGGAAGAAAATATGTATCATTGACTTGGATTCTTTCCCAAGAGACCTATATTTTGCTCTTAACACAACCTGATTTTTTTCTAATCTGAGAAATGTGGAAATGAAATTACCACATGGAATAATTAATCATGCTTTCAGTGAGCTACAACATATTGTTAGGATATTATTTTGGTTGTCAATTAATTAACATAGACAGACTCCTATGGTCAGCAGAGCATAAAATGAAACCAGAGATATGTTCCAGGAAGCATGCCTGTGGGTTATTAACAAGGGCGCAGTTACCTTCTTAGTGGTAGAGGGGGCAGACTTTACCTATGTATGGCTGAAACCTCACAAAATAAGTTACTTTTGTCTAATTCTTTTGGCGATTTTGTGATAATAAATATGAAACACACTTTCACAGTAATGTAGGGTGCATGAAAGCTACTGTCAATCATTATTTGAGAAAATGTCATTGCACTGAAATAGAGTTTGTAAGCCAACTTCATGCCTACCAAAGATGCTGATCTCTGTCACCCCTCCAAAAAAAAAGATAAACAGGAGTGGGCTGTTTAACGCACTAAACTTTCTTTTGCAAACCTTCTTTTGGCACAAATCATCAGATCAATATTATATTGTAGGACATCCATACTGCTTTAGAACAAACTTTGTCTTAATAGTTATTTTGGTCTGTCATTGAAAAAGGACGTTTGAGGCTTGAGACAACCAGTCATAATAATTTAACATATTCTCTTGAGGGGCAGGGAGTTTTGTTGGTTACCCTGAGTGTTCTTAACTGTTGTTAATTTTTAATAATGGAAAGAGAGAGTTGGAATAAGGTTGCATAGTCAGGAATGTGTAAAATATGCAAAGGATCATCAAATGATAATTATAGAATTGTGGAATCTGTACAATTATTTTTTCTTTTACTAAGAAATGGTGTGTGAGAGTGAGGCAGGGGTTTCTATATGTGCTATAAAATTCTTGTTGGTTAATTTTTTTGTATGTACACAATCTAAATATTAATTGTATATTCTAATGACTATTATTACAATTAGATTATGTTGAATTTGAATGTCCACATTTTACCTTTGGAAATGCTTTCGTTGGTTTGAGTCAAGTTATATACATATTTACTATAAATGTGAAAATAAGATAATTATTATTTGAATTTAAGAAGTTCCTCAATAATTGCCTTTTAACTTTATGACATTTAATATATATGAACTAAAGGCAAATAAACTTGTGTATCCAATCTGTTCAATCAAGGCAAAAATCAGTAATGAAATGCATATTGTGGGCCAAAAGTCATTTCTATAATCATCTCACTTTTCCAGAAACTTGCACGGTGATTTATAAAATAATACTCAAATTTACAGGGACCTCTAATTTAGTATTTTCTTTTTCTTCAATTTAGCAGAATGGGTTACACATGGGATGCATGGAAAAAGACAGTAACTGCAGTGTAAAACACATTATGTATCATAATATAGTGGAATAGTTTGTTTTATAATCAAAATATTAAGGCTCTTAACCTTCTAGTCATTAGGCATTGAATTTTTCAGTTAGCTCATTGAGACATAATTTTTCTTTCCAAAATGAGGTAATTTACCTGTCAATGAGGACACAATTTTTTATTGGTAGACACTTAAGTATTTGTATCATAAATAGGTACCTACCCTGGGATGTAGAAAGTCCAGGATGGTTTTGAGAGTTTTTTTTTTTTTTTTAACTAAGTAGTATACCTTTGAATTATTGTAAATAATCTCCAATAAAATCCATTGCTTCATTCATTACTGGAACCACAACTGAATATATAGTGTTTATTACATTTACATTTTTACATTTAAGAACTCTCAGTGTAAGTCAAAATATTTATTTCATAATTCAGTACCAATTCTCTTATATCACTTCATAGAATATATTAATACAAATAGAACATGGTTTAAAATAGTTTTTTTACTGAAGATTTACACTGTTTTATACCAAGAGGTCAAGCCTAGCTCAAAATTTAATACAACTTTCATTTTGAACTTAACTGATTCAGTCACTGCCTTTATGTCACAATTTTCTGAACTTTGAGGGAGGTTTTATAATTATCATTAGTTATACAAACAAGTAAACTTATAAAACATTAAAAATCATTATTTGAGAATATATCAGGAAAATTTTTGACTTATTTCTGTCTAGTGAGGATGGAATGAATTGTGAACAATCTGAGCTATATACATTCAATAGAACTACTGTGAAGATATTTTCTTAAATTAGTCTAAAGCTTAGAGTTTTTCAGTATCTGTGTTCAGAAAAACTCAAGTTAGGTGACATCTCATTTAATTGCTTATTTTCTTTCATTAGTTAAAGTTATTTTTAAAAGATTTATTTATTTATTCATATAGAACTGGGGTACAGGACAGAGATGCGAAGGGTGAGAGGATTCACCAGAGACAGAACGGGGAACAGAACAGGCAGATCTACAAAGTACACTGCTGAGGATCAGCGGGCGGGTCAGGAGAGGTCTGCCTCGCCATGTGGATCTCCTTCGGGGCAGGTGGGCATCGAACTCATGCGGAAGTGGCTTACGCTTCTTAGTGCTTTGCTTTAACCCGCTGAGCCACAAGGGAGGGCCTCATTAGTTAAAAGTTTTTAAAGTGACTATGAATTTTTAAAAAAGATTATTTATGCATACATAACTGGGGTGCAGGACAGAGGTACAGGGGAGGTGAGAGGATTCACCAGAGACAGATTGGGGAGCAGAACAGGCTGACTGATGAAGTACACAGCTGAGGGGAGCAGCGGGTGGATCAGAAGAGGTCTGCGGCACCATGTGGGTCATCTCTGGGGATGGGAGCGTATGGAACTCATGCTGAAATGGCTTTAGCTTCTTAGTGCTGTGCCACCAGGGAGGGCCGGAATTTTTTAATGTACTTTTAAATCATTTGGCCTGATAGATTCCTAGACTACTAGTAAAATATACTGATAAGATGCTAAAGAAATATAAATTGCTGTTAATAATATAATAATTTTCAATATACGTTTGTGGGCAAGCTATCTCACTAAACCAGAGGTAGAAAATTAGATAATGGAAGTTAGTCAATTTTGAGGAATTTTTGGTTTGATTTGTTATTGCTTCACCCTCTCTGCTCCTCTCCCAACCTCACAAAAAATTGAAGAAAACAAAGAGAATGGAAGAATGACAGAAAGTGAAAAGTCTTTAAAGTAGGTTCATGTAATAGGGAAGTTTATCCTTGAATTCTTATTGTTATGTTTGTTCAATACAGGCTGCTCACTCACTAAGTATCAGAAGATCATTTTAGGTTTTCACAATTTTGTTCTTCAAATTATCAGCAAAGCAGGAATAATAGTGTTTGTGTTTAATAACATATACATTAAATAACTGTATATGTATATTAAATAAAGATAAAGATAGTAATGTAAACATATACATTAAATAAGATAGTGGTTATTTATCACTTCACTTTCCATAAATTTTCAAAATTAATTTTGTGATGCACATTTAAATTCCACAAATACATTACTGCTCCTGAAAACTTTAAAGAACTAA